TTTTTTTTTTTTATCTTGGATAGAAGTTGCCATCCTGACTTGATCTTTTTATTTTTGGTCCTTTTTGTAATTTTACTTTAGTAGAATCATAGAGAAGTAGGGCTGGAAGGGACCTCCAGAAGTCATCTAGTCCAACCCCCCCTGCCTCAGGCAGGGTCATTCCTATCAGCCCATCCCATAAAAAACTATTATGTAGATTCTGTTCAAGACTGCTGTCAACCCTGATGCAACTAAGCCTAATGACCTAACCTGCTGCAGGTAAAGCAGGGGGATAAATGGCAGCCAGTGTCCTGCTTCTGTGAGATGTTGTCAATATATGCTCAAGTCATCCTGGGTAGAGGACCACACCCCCCTGCTACAGAGGAAGGAAAAATCCCAACAGTCAGTGCATCTGACCATGGGGTAAAATTCCTTCCTGACCCCAAATAGTGTGATCGGTGTGACCTTGAGTGGAGGGGTAAGATCCTCTAGCTAGGAACCTCCAGCTCTGGTCCTAGCAGGACCATTTGCACATCCCAGTTACAGTTCTCAGCCTTGGCTATAGCCAGCACCCAATGCCCAGGGAAGGCTTAAAAATATACGCAGCAGAAAAGGAGCTGAGGGCTGGGGAGCAGCAACCAGCAAAGTCCGGGAACTTGGGAAATATTCATGGTAGAATATAGGCATAGCTGTGCCTAGATCATCCCTGACCATTGGCTGTTCAACCTCTTCTTGAATACTTCCATTGATTGGGAGTCCACAACAAACCTAGGCAGTGTGTTCCACTATGTCACTGTTCTAACTGGGAAGACATTTTTCTGGATATCCAATCTAAAACTTCAAGCCATTGGTCCATGTCCTCCTCTCTGTAGCGAGAGAGAGAAGGTGCTTTCCCTTTTCTTTATGGCAGCCCTTCAAGTATTTGAAGACTGTTATCATGTCCTCTCAAGTACCTTTTCCACAAGCTGAACATGTCTAGCTCCTTTAGTCTCTCCTTGTATGACTTGCTTTCCAGGCTCTTGATTATCTTTGTTGTCCACCTCTGGACGCTCTCTAACTTCTCCATGTCCTTTTTAAAATATTGAGCCCAAAACTGCATACATTAGCCCAGCGGAGGCCTCATCAGTGCTGAGTAGAAAGACACTTGTCCTGTGTCTTACACTTGGTGGGTTGTAGTGTCGGAGATCAGAGCAGCGCCGGCAGCTGCTTTCTGACCCCCCTCCCCCCCCGCCCCTCCGGAGCAGTAACACTTTCACCTGACGGGCGGGTAGTGATGGATGGGGTGAAATTAACCAGGCACAGATGCGTGTTGGTTACAGGAGATTGTTTACTTACGTCGCCCAGATAGTGACATGCGACGCAGGCTGAGCCTTTGTTTCTGTTACAGTTGCATTGATTATAGTCAAACGTATGGGTTACAGCCAAGCAATGACGGACGTGGCACCGAAAACGTGCTATCGTGCCTGCAGGGCTTTACTACGTCAAAATTAACGATGACGGGGAGTATTGACAGCTGATCAGACTGTCAATCTACTCTGGTGATGGACTCAGGTCTCTCCTCAGAGGTTTCTCCGGGGTTCTCCGCCTAGGCGGAAGTTGCTAAACTATTTATAGATAGAGGTGTCTGATGGAGATACCCAATGATGAACCGTTATGTGGAATCTTTAATTTTCTGGCAAGCAGCAGTTCTTTGTACTCTCAGGTTGCTGTCAAGTTACAAGGTAGTGGGTTAGGTTTTCTGCCTGTTACGTATGAGGTTACGATGAGTGGCTTACTCTTGTTTCTTAACCAATTGCAGGGATTTATGGCAGGGCTATCCCCTTTCACCCTGACCAGTCTTAAGTTTCGTTTCTTGTTTGTGACGTGGGCATAAATTATATACAGCTCTCCGCCAGGATTTTGTTTCAGAAGTTTCTAGCAAGAATTTCTTTTAACCCTTAGTTGACTACATGAATGGTATCTCTTGCTAGTGGCATGGGCACTGATTAACTGGGTTGTGACATGTAGAACCCGATTCCCTTTTTGTGTGGCTGCATCACACCACAGACTCGTATTGAATCTGTGATCTACCAAGACTCCTAAGTCCTTCTCCACAGTTCTTCCATCCAGCCAGTTGTCACCTATTTTATATTTGTGTTTTTGATTATTCCTCCTGAGGTGTAGCACCTTGCATGTGTCCACATTGAACTTCATTCTTTTAGCTCTAGCCTAGCTTTCCAATCTGTTGAGATTTTTCTGAATTGTTCTCACATCCTCCAGTGTGTTTTCACCCAGTTTCTTGTCGTCTGCAAACTTGCTTAAGAAGATTTCTATGGTAGCATCCAAATTGTTAATAAACATGCTGATCAGCACCAGGCCCAGGACCGACCCATTTGGGACTCTGCTCCAAGCATCCTGACATTCTGACGTGGACCTGTTAATAGTGATCCCTTGCTTGTGGCTATTGATCTGTTACTTACCCACCTTTATAGTTTTATCTAGTCCACATTTTTCCAATTTGTTTGAGGAGGTTGTGCGAGACCTTGTTGGAAGCCTTGCTGAAATCCAGATACATTATATCCACAACATTCCCTTCACCCATCCAAGTACAGTAGTTATTTTGTCAGAGAAGGAGATCAAGTTTGTTTGATACAGTTTGCTTTTCATAAATCCATGCTGGTTGCTTGTGATCAGCCTTTTCTCTTCCAAATGCTTACAAATAGCCTTCCTTAGGATCTGCTCCAGTAACTTCCTTTGTATTGAGGTGAGGTTAACTTGTCTGTAGTTCCCCGGGTCTTCCTTCTTGCCTTTAAGTTGGTTCTTTTTCAGTCTGCCTGTACCTGGCCCATCTCCTATAATGTCATGATGATCATTGCCAAGGGCACTGAGATCTCTCCTACCAGTTCCTTCGGGACTCTGGGATGAAGTTTATCTGGCCCTGCTGATCTGAATTCATTCAGACTCAACAGAAGCTCTGTGACTGTGTTTCTTTTGTTGTCTCTTCCCTCTGCTTGCCCCCCTTCCTTATCCAGATAATCCCTATTAGGTGACTGGCTGCAGCTAAATTTTTTTATGAAGACTGAGGTGTAGACTGTTGAGTAGCTCTGCCGCCTTTGTATCTTCTGTTAATAGTTCCTCCTTGCTTGTTAACAGAGGACAACAGCTTCCTTGGTCCTTTTCTGGCCACCATGCTTATAGAACCTCTTGTTGTCCTTAAATTCCTTTGCAAGGTCTAGCTCATTCTTTATCTTTGCTTTCCTGATGTTATCACTTGCTAGTTTGTGGTATGCTTCCTTGGCAACCTGTCCACTCTTCCAATGAGTGTATGCTTTCCTTTTGAATTTAAGGTATTTTAGAAGCTCCTTGTGCAACCAAACTGGTCTCTTGCGTATTCTTGTGCTCCCATCATGTTGGGTCAGTTTCTTGGGCTTCCCACATTGTACCCTTGAGAAGCTCCCAGCCTTCCTGGGCACCTTTTTCCTTCAATTTATCCTCCCATGACATTATGCCTATTAGCTCCTTGAGTCATGAAGTCTAGTGTCTAATTTTGCTGGCCTCATGCTTTCCCTGTCTCAGGATCTGGAATTCTATCATATCATGATTACTTTTTCCCAGGTTACCCATCATCTTCACATCTTCCACCAATTCTTCCCTCTTAGTCAGGACAAGATCCAAGATAGATTATTCTGTAGTTGTATCCTCAATCTTCTGGAACAGAAAGTTGTCTTCCACACAAGTTGGGAAACGACTTGACATATTCTGTTTGGCTGCATTGTTCTTCCAGCAGATGTCCAGAAAATGGAAGTCTCCCTTCAGTACCATCCTATAACTTTTAGATAGATTTGTCACCTGTTTGAAGAGTGGCTCATCCACCTTCTCATCCTGATTAGGTGGCCTATAATAAATCCCCACCATTATATTGGCAGTGACTCTCCCAGGAAAAACTCAATGTCTGTATGAGGCCTAAATAAAAGTGCCTCGTGCAGGACTGTGGCACGCCTGTTCTTCCTGCATTAGGGCTCTCTGATAACCCTGAAGCAGGCAGAAGAGTTGGTTTGTGCTGTAGCCTTTCCCAGTCTGCCTTCCCCCCCTGCCAACTCCTCATGGAAAGAGATGTTTGTAGGACAGTTATGCCTCTCTGCAAGGTTGTACAGGAAGGGCTGCAATTTGAGCTGGCTCTTCTGCCTCATGTAGGCTGAACAAAGAAGCCTAATGGAGGAGGAGTCCTTACATGTGCCTCAGCCCATCTCTGTCTGGCTGTGCATCAGGCTCATGGGTGCCCTGACCTGTTTAAATCATCAGAGTAAGCGGAATGGAAAGTACCAAAGGTTAGAGATTCTTATTGTAGAATAAGCAGTGTGTAAGAAACTAGAGAATAGAAGAACGTACATGCATTAATGACTTTAGGAAATACTGTTAAATCATCACTAGTTCTTAATTTTAATATAAATAAAATAGTTTGGTTTGTGTTATAACCAAACAGACAGTTTACAGGGATTCATCTGCTTTAAAATCCAGTTTACAATATCGTATCTCTGTGCTATAATGGCAAGTGTTCTAGGAAAAGCTATTGAGCACATTAAGTGGACATTAAAAGATTTATTGCTAAAGTGATAGATACTAATAACCTACTAAGAAGCATGACAGTGTTCACAGTATAATGGAAGTAGAACTATATTGTTTTGTCTGCTAAAATATATATTTGAGAATTTTTTTATTTCTGATTTTAGCCTGAACACTCCACCTGGAACAAAAATTAAGCTGTCGGGAATTGTTGACGTGAAGAATGGATTCCTGCTTTTGGATGACAATAACATTGTAGTTCTTGGAGGTGAAGTGGAGCATCTTATAGAAAAATGGGAGTTACAAAGGGTGAGGTAACATCACTGTCAATGCTTGTCTTACAGGATGATAATTATATCTAATGCCTATGAGCAGAGTGGTGGTAGTGAGCTCCTTGTGATAAAAATCATTTTAGTCTTTAGAAATGTGCCAGAGTTGTTCGATTTCACTTTGCTGATAACCTGTAATGAGAGTTCATATTATATACTGCAAGTGCAGAAATCTTTGAGTGGAAACTTTATTCCTGTTGTGTTCTGTGGAATTTTAAACTTAAATATCTAGTGGAAGTTAATTCTTACTTTCACCTGAAGCAGGTGTAAAGTCACTTATGGCAGATGTTTTTAAGCATGATGGCTTTTGGCAGTTCCCCTGAAAATGTATACATTTTTTTCTTGCCATGGCATTATAGAGTGGCACTTTTACAGACAAAATATGTCATAAGTTTTTAGAAGGTAGTGATAAAATACTGTAACCCCTGTTTAGGTAACTAGGAAAATTCCATTAAATCTCTGCAAGTGATAACCAGGGATCCAGGTTTTCCATTTCCCAACAGACAAACATGTATTTTCTCCTTCAAAAGTAAAAAAATCTGGGAAACCACAGGTTTCCCTTTGCAGGTTAGCAGAGCTTAAGCCTGCCAGGGGCTGCTTGGGGCTGGGGAGAGTGGGAAGATGGTGATCAGAGGCAGGGGGTCTATGTGCCCAATGATAGTCAGGCAGCGTGGTGGAGAGCAGCTCCTGCAGCTCCCTGCAGGTAAGTCTGTGGGGTTGGGGTGGGCAGATTGAGACAGTGGCTCAGAGCCCGCATGGTGAGGGAAGGAGTGGGGCAAGGTTGGTGGCTGGAGGTGCAGCCCAGCTGAGACAGTGCATGGGGCTTGGGGTCAGGGCTGGAGCAAGTAGGAGTCCATGGGTGGGGAGCAGGACGGAGCCATGAGTGGCCTATTGGGAGGGGAGGAGGCTCCCTGCTGCTGTGCACAATCACGTGGAGGGATTGGATCCATAGGCGATGCAGAAGGGAGGCAGGAAACCCCCCTCGCCCCCCTGCCAGGTTTCTGTTCCCACAACATGGCATGGGGTTGCAGCCTGGCTGGACTGGCACTGGCAGTAGCTGCCTCCATGGCCCAGCAGTCTGGACCAAGCACAGGAGGGCATAGTAGGGTGGGGAGGCTCAGTGATGCTGGTGCTGACAGTGCCATGCTGCCATGGCTGCCAAGCACCAGCATCAGCAGCAGGGCACCACTCTGTGCTGCTGCGGTGCCTCATGTTGGCACTTGTGGCATTGGGGCTGGTGTGTGACTCCTGGAGGTGGCAGTGCAGAGTTGTGCATCATGGCTACTGCTGGATGGGTAGGGGGCACCTCACCTTGGTGCTGTGGCGGTGCAGTGCTCCCTCCTGAGCCAGGTCCTGCCTGCTGGGCTGCAGAGGCATCTGGTGCCTGTCTGTCTAGGTTGCAGCCCCATGCCCCACTGTGGACACAGAAATCGGGAGGTTGGGCATGTGCTCACCCCTGCTCTCTCAATGTGTTGCCTATGGCATCGCCTGTGTGCCACTGCCTGCCTCACACACCCGCTCCCTGCCCTGTACACCCACTCCCTTCCCCACACACTGGGGGACTGGGGCCCAGAGGCAGGGGATTGGGAGTGAGGGGCATCAGCAGGCCGGGGGGGTGGGGGATTGTGAGTTGGGAGCAAAGGGCACTGGTAGGGCCAGGGATCTGCGGGTCTGTAGTAAGGGGCACCAGCAGGGCAGGGGGGCACTGTAGCATGGGCAAGGGCAGGGCACTGGCATATGGGGGGTGCTCAGCACCCCCACCCCAAAGCAGTGGGGAGGACTGCCACAGCTGGGCACGCATCCTGGAGTGAAAGGGTCAGGAGGATTTTGAATTTTTCATGATTGAAAAAACAAAATCTAATGCTAAAATATATATAGGTATTTATAATTTGTTTTATTATAATGACTGAGGCACTGGTAGGCTTCCAGATTGCTTTAAAATTGTAAATATATATCAATAAAGCATTCTGTTAAGTTGATACATACATACATATATATTTGTATACATATATATAGTGGTGCTTCATTTTAATCGTGGAAAAAGTTGTATTTTGTGGGTTTTAATCAGACAATTTTGGATTTTTTAAAAGAGAAAATCAGATAACTATGCTTCAACATATTTTCTGCTTGGTATGTTTCAATTGTAGTTTAGTTTTATCAAGGCCATAATCACTAAGATGAATTACAGAGAGCTTTTAAGCAAACCATGAAGACATCTGAACGTTTACTCTAATATGCTCAGTCTAGTAATAGGAGAGTATATTAAAAATGATTTTTTTTTCAAGCTGTCTCCGTTCCCTGCCACTGATACAAAGCAGTGATTATATCCAGATCAGAAAACCTTGATCTGGTGACAAGGTTCTGTTCTATTAATGTATTTCTGTTCTACCAAATGGCTGTTAGAGATTTAATCATTTTGTTAGGTTGGTGTGGGGTACCCTGTGAGTGACATTTGCTTACTCAACTATTATTGCTATCTATAAATATTTATTGACACAGCATGTAGATTCATTATGTATGTCAGTGAATCAAGGAGCATCTTGTTTATGAACATACCATCTAGGAAGTTTTCCTCTCTATACACTCCTTATTTTCCACTGACCACGATTTTAGAGAACATATTCCATTTTTTGAAGGGAAGGGAAGGGAAGGGAGGGACCCACAAAGACTATAGAAAGTTTCGAGTCAAACTTCAAGAACATTTCTTTAGTCAAACTTTGAATGGAATACTTAGTTATAGCTGAAACTTTCTTTAGTCTTTGTGAGTCCCTTCCCTCTCTGCCCTCCTTTCCCCTTGCTCTTTTGGGCAAGCTGGACTAAAATCAATTTGATAGTTTTAATTTCTAAAAATACATTAAAAAGGTAAATGTTTGTTAAAATGATTTTTGTGCTCCTTTAGTTGAAAAATTCTTGAAATGTGTTCTGCAAACTGTATGATGCTTTAAAAAACATCCTACCATCATAATAATAATATTATGGGATCAACAGCAAAACATCTTAACTTATGATTTCTTTTCAAGAATAGAAAAAAGTAGATATCTTGGGTCTTGTAACTAGCTTAAATATAATTTTGGGTTTTACAGTAGAGGGGAAAAGCTAAATTAAGAATTCGGGGGTGGTGATTCTTAAGTACTTGAAATTGCAAACTAATTGGTAAATGGCCAGTCAGTTTAATCAGGAGTATTAACACTACATTGAACCTTGCTCGTACATTCACCCTATATGGTCATGAGCACAGATATGTTGTTCTATAAGTACAGTCTTTACTGAAAACAGAAACTGGAAAATAACAATGTAGAATATTCACTTTATTATGAGGAGATGAACAGCTGACTAACTTCACCCTTTCCCCTCCAGTTTGTTTAACTTTATTTAAAATCCACCCCTCATATTCCTTTAAGGTAGAAGGTTCATAGATTTCATAGACATTAGGGCTGGAAGGGACCTTGGAAGATCATCAAGTCCAGCCCCCTGCCTCAGGGGCAGGAAGTCAGCTGGGGTCATAGGATCCCAGCAAGATAAGCATCCAAATTTCTCTTGAAGGCGTTCAGTGTAGGTGCTTGAACCGCCTCCGTTGGCAGGCTATTCCAGACCTTGGGGGCTCGGACAGTAAAGAAATTCTTCCTTATGTCTAGCCTGAAATGGTCTTGCAGGAGTTTATAACCGTTCAACCTTGTCATCCCTTGAGGGGATCTGGTGAACAAGCGTTCCCCCCAGATCCTGGTGAACACTTCTAATAAACTTATAGGTGGCCATCAGATTGCCCCTGAGCCTGCGCTTTTCCAGACTGAAGAGTCCCATAGCTCTCAGCCTCTTGTCATAAGGTCTGTTTTCCTGACCTCTGATCATGTGCTTGGCTCTTCTCTGGACTCTCTCAAGCTTCTCCACATCCTTTTTGAATTGTGGAGCCCAAAACTGGACGCAGTACTTCAGCTGTGGCCTCACCAAGGCCGAGTACAACGGGAGAATGACGTCCTGGGATTTGCTTGAGAAGCATCTATGGATGCAAGCCAGCATTTTGCTCGCTTTACTAGCCGCAGCGTCGCATTGAAGGCTCATGTTCATCTTGTGGTCATGACCCCCAAGTCCCTTTCATCTGTAGTGCTAGCCAGCGTAGCACTGCTGAGCCTATAAGGATGCTGCAGGGTTTTCCTCCCAAGGTGGAGAACTTTGCATTTTTTCGGTGTTAAACACCATCAGGCTCTCATCCGCCCATTTGCTGAGCCTGTCCAGGTCAGCCTGGATCGCCCTCCTGTCCTCAGGCGTGGATGCTTTTCCACAAAGTTTGGTATCATCAGTGAACTTGGTGTATTCATTTGACTCTTCATTTTTGACTTTTTCTTCTTTCACTGGTATGACTCCTGGGTCTTTTTCATACACTTTTTCATGTTTTGTATTTGTGCCTTGTGGAAACTCCACATCTTTATTGGTTTTTCTAAAAACACCGTATTTACCTGAATCCTACATGACTCTGAATTCAGGACACCCCACCCCTCAATAATAACATTCTAGAGATGGAGAAATGTATACATTTGTTATAACCTTTCTTGTCTAGAATCTATTTTTGGAGGGCTGTCTTAAATTTGTCCTCACCCACCACTGTAACAGGGCAAGCAGCAAGATCAAGTCAGGTAATGGTGGGGCAGGCAGCAGGGAAGTCAAGTGGCCTGACCCCTGCCTACTACTGCTTCTCTTCCTCTCCTGCCACACACACACACACACACACACACACACACACACACACACCTTGCTTACCTGCCCCCACCCAGCTGTCTGCACACCTCATATCTGTGCCTGCATGCCCCATGCCTGCCCCCTCCTACCTGGAGCCGGAGTGACAAGGGGCAGGTGAACAGTGTTGGGGAGCAAAGGCTGGTTAGGAGGAGCAGCAGGTGCAACTTGAACTGACCCTGGGCTTGGGGCTAGTGGTTCAGCTGCTGCCTCCCCTCCCTCGCCCCACTTGTACTTGAATCTAAGACA